AGACATTTTTTCCTGCATCAAAGTTTATAAACTGATACATATAACTTTAAGAATCTTTAAAAGTTTAAAATGATTTATTTAACATTATACTAATATAATTTACTATATTTAAAATTGCGTGTCCATCGTGATTAAATGTAAATACAATTTTAGTCATATTTGTGAATGGTATTGTACCAGTTTCCACGAAAATATGAAACAGTTTTTAACAATGATGAAAGAAGGAAGATGATGATAATAATGATAATATTAAAATCTGAAAGATCAAGTGATACTAGAGTAATACTGATTAAATTTCAGCTTGAAATCAAAGGGGAAAATATATATTTTTTTAAATCACAGTTAATAATATTTCCCCTTTTTACTGTTTGTACTGCATTAATAATCAAATGTGGTCCTTGGTGAGCGGCAGGATTTTTTTAAAAATCGTGCAAATCCCAAACTTTTGACCTGTAGTGTATAAATAACATCCAAGTGTAACAAAGAAGCACACACACATTCAGCAAATATAACCATATGCACACTCAAAGGTAAAAGCATTCATTAAATTTCCCTGTTAATGGTCCTATTGCTTGTCTTCGCCTCACCAAGGGGACACATTTGCATTCACAATGCAACTCCACGGTGCCACTAATTGCCTCTAAATTTAGCATGTTGGCTTGTCCAGGCGACACGGTAAGAAAAAGATGGAAAAACTAAACCATTACGACGGGAACGAGAAGTAAGGCAATCCACAAAAGAGGGTTTTGATCATATGAAGGACATATTGCAGCGTTCAAGGACATTTTCCTCAAGAAATCAACGTGACACTGCATAGCAACGGTGCTGCCATAACAGACGCTTGAAAAAAAAACAAAACGATGGCATACAAAGAACAAATGCTGCTCCACTTTAATGATGCTTGACATTCAAAATAAATGTTCATTTCAAGCGCAATTATGTTTAAGAGTCAGAAGTGAGGATGAAGGGTTTACAGATAGCTTTAATGTGAGCACTGAATGGAAATCACCTCCTTTGAGGCCAAAATCAACATCCTTCATGTCCTTGAGGACTCGCCTGTAATAGAATATAACTCCCTTTTACTAGGAATCAAGGTTTTTCATTTCCAAAATAAACCAATTCTGGCTTCAGGTTTGTCATTTAAATGAGAAAAGTGCAGCTGGTTGGGTTTGGAAAACTCAAGTGTTTGGTGTCTAGTTTCATCCGGCTAGTGTATTGTTTTTATTATTTTCTACACTTCAGTAGTGCCTTGGTCAACAGGGCGGCTGTATGCTTTTGTCAATCTAGATCAATTTCTTTCCCTGTGGCTCCGCTGGTATACAGCATGGCACTAACAGCAACAAGGTCATGGTTTGATTCTCCGAGAAGGCATACTGATAAAATATAGCTTGGATAAGGAGAAAGAAAACCACTTCAGATAAAAGCATCTGCCAAATAAACAGAAGGTTATTGTAAATTCCAATATTCCTTTTGGGGGGAAATGAACTGCTGTTCATTAGTTTGGGGTTGGTAAGGTTTTCAAGTATTAAAAAAAATATGTCTAATGCTCAGCAAGGTTGCATTTATTTGATTAAAAGGTTAGATCATGCAACAATTCTGTCAATTTGACTCACTCTCAATTCGTTCCAAAGCACTGAGGCCTTTGTTCATCTTTAAAACACAAATTAAGATATTTTAGGTGAAATCAGAGTTCATTCATTCTTCATAGACTGCAACAGTCTAGATTCTTTCAGCGTAGGAAAAACAACAACTTTAAAACAGAACATTTATGACTGTAGACTTGATGCTCAAATACAGCAGTACATTACACCACATACAAATTATTTTTCTTGACTCTTTTTTTGTAATTAAGACACCACATTTATAATAGGGCTGTCCAAGGAGGGATTTAATTTGGTGTAACACACTTTAAACAACAACAATGTGTGTGTGTGTATGTATGTATGTATGTGTATATATATATATATATATATATATATATACACATACATACATATATATATATATATATATATATATATATATATATGTATGTATGTGTATATATATATATATATATATGTGTGTGTGTGTATGTATATATACATATCAATTAACGCAGTTGCAGGTTTTTTTTTTACTTTCTGTTGTGGTGGACGTGTGTTTAACATGCAAGAAATGTGGATAAGACCAAGAAAGCACTTTTTGAAGGCAAGTTTCAGTATAAAACAGTTAGTCGCATCACCAGGCTCTCCAAAGTTTCATGCAATTTCGGGTGTTTTATTTTTAACTTTCGACTTCTGTTGTAAGTTGATTCCGTATGGCGAACAGAAAGAAAATCTTCCCCATTTCGTGACTCGGTGTTCCTTTAAGGTAATAAAATCACTGCTTAGGCTACACGGTGTACTTTAACACGAGTATAATCTTAATCATATTAAAATCGGAGTATTGGTGTCTTATGTGAATGTACTCAGAAAGTCTCTGGTGAAGTCGCGAGCTGTCAGACAGGGCATTACTCTGCCTTTCAGCATGCGCCCTCCAAGTTTAACGTGTTTCCTCATTAAACGCAACGAAAGCGTATGCTTCGTGTTGTTGTGTCAGAATCCTTGTTAAATACAGTAATACTTTAGGGCACTTAGTTTAAGCAAATTTGATGAACGTGATCATGCGTGTTGAAGCTGAGGGGAGTCGCTCCAGGATGGAAGGCCGTTGGGGCCAAAACGTCTGCAGCGCGTTGTGTGTGTGTTTGTATGTGTGTCTGTGTCAGGGGTGGAGTGAGCGACGTATCTGAGTAGGGGTGTGTGCGCGCGAGACGTACCTGAAGGACGGTGGGGGTGAGTTGCGTGCGACATAGGCTACCTGAAGAGCTAGGAGGGATGCGGGGGAGAGGGGTGTGCAATGTATTTAACGACCGTTTTGCGAGAAATTATCAATCATTTGCGGGCATTTGGGAGTCTCTGTGCACTTGCGGGATTCTCCTAGTCTTAGCAACTGGATGAATGTAAAGAAGGATTAAGCAAAATTGTTTCTACTCTATAACTAATGTTCTCAACTCACAGCAATAAAACTTTACAATAAGTGCAACAGTTTGTATTCTATAGTTTATTATTATAATTTTTCATTTTCCATATCTGCAGTTCCTTCATTTTGGCATTTTTTTGCAGTTCACTTAGAATCCAACTTGGAAATCAATGTTTTTTTTATTGGCATTGATTGTTTTGAAATTTAAATGTCATTAACATGCCTGTGTTTTAATTTCTTTACTAAATATGACTGTCAAGCCAGGATCTTAATGGTTTATTATGGGTGTGTCGTTTACATGTAGAAATCTGTGTTACAAGTTAAACAAAAATTCCAATTATATTTTATACAATTATATTTTGAATTTCAGTTCTAATAAACAATTATATTTTGAATTTAAATAGTTTTTGTCTTGTATTTACATAAATTTTACATTTGAATAGCCAAAATCACAAGTTTCAGTATTTTAAATTCGATTAATCGCGATTAATTTGTTAATTTTTTTTATCGATTGACAGCACTATATATATATATATATATATATATATATATATATATATATATATATATATATATATATATATATGTAATGATAAGGTTATTATGTAGTGAAAAAAATATCTTTTTCCAAAAATGTCACTTTATACAATTCTTTGCTTTTTAAGAACCGTAGATTTTCTTGGCGTCAAAAAGGGCTAAATCCAAAAGTGCTTTTTTTGTAAAAAGCTCTAAATCCACCTATTGGGACAAGACAGTGTAATTAGTTGAAAATCACTAAAGATGCAATTAGAGATAATTTAATCAAACATAAAACACATTACACAATCCACCTAAAATTAAAAATATATGAATCTGTTAAGTAAGTGGCGGTTCACTCCGCTGTGATAAACCAGGGAAAAAGCAGAAGGAAAATTAATGAATGAAATCTGTCAAGTAAGTGCATTAATCAATAACATTAAAACTGACATTAATTAAATCCTAATGTCATTTCTGGTATTTGGGATTTAGATTTAATGCAAGAAGAACAATGTAAACATTGTAAACTAAGCTTGGTAGATTCAAATAATGTAGTGTAAAAACATTGAGAAACATCAATATCTGTGCACTGTCTAAAAAGCTTGTCAGATGTATAGGTAATATGAAATAATACGAATAATGTATAGTTTTATATATTACATTTATGTTTTAAAAAATAGATTAAATTAGCAAATGAAACACAAGGTAGGCCTACGGGCAAAAAGGGGATGCCTCTCAGACAATTTTAGAAGCTGTTATTCATTCATTCTCACCATACTTAGTCATTATTTTCGTCTTATGTGCGCACAAAAATGATCATTGGCCCTCCAGGACAGAGTTTGGGTACCCCTAATCTACAACATCTTAATCTGCATTTCAAAGTAGAATGAGGTCTAAGGGTTTAGAACAACATGACAGTGATTCAATTATTGCCATTTTTGTTAAACAAAACATTTTAGTACTGTGAGTGATACTATGAGATATTTTCATTTAAACACAGCCATATTCCTACATTTTCAGCAGCCATTGCTATTCAAGTTCTCCTGGGAAGATTAATGAGTTGGAAAGACACAATTATGAGTTCAATAGCACCTTTTTGATTGAACCAATATCGCAATGTACATTTTCAAACCAATTTCTCACTGCTGTCATTTTTCTTGTATTTACTTGATTACTCAGAAGAAAGAGAACAGCACATATACTTATATATTCATCTCAGCAGTGTTGGCGTGTTACAACCTCATTTTACCTCCAATCATTTCTGTGAAACTATGTATTTACAGTTGTTATGATCAATTTAATGGATTCTTGATGAATTACAGTATACTGTTTTATATTTTTCGAAAGGTCCAATGGGTGATCTTTAACTTGGTGTGTCCTGGTTTTTTAGATTTCAGTACTTTGTAACAAAAAATAAATAAACAAAACTTAAGAAACGTTATGTAATTTTAATGTGCTTTTATTTATTCTTTTTTTTTTTTTTTGGTAAAAACATGTAATTTGAGAAGAATCTTATCAATATAAAGACAAGGTAAAAAAACAGATATGAAAGTTTTTTAATGGTGAAAAGACAATTGTGTCTTAAACAGTGAATACAAGTAAGAGCCCTGTATTTTCCTTAGGTTCTACAAAATCATTCATCCTGGAAGAAGGAGTCTAAATCCCCCATCTCCTCTTGGGCCTGTTTAGGGTTTGCCTGAGATGGACGGGACGCACCGGGAGGATTTTCTTGGCTTTTTTGTGACATCTCCACTTCTTTCTTGATGCCTTGGCCTCCACCCAGAAGCTTCTGGCTCTCTGTGAAGTACTGGTTTGGATGATTGAGAGAAAACCCAGCATCCTCAACCTGTAACAAACAAACAAGACAAAATGTAAGCAGAAGACAGAAGCTTCATCCAAAAATGCAAATAAAATTTATGTGCAAAACTAGAATATTGCATAAAGACCAGCGAATAAAGCAGCATTTCCATCCAAAGAGAACAAAATAGTCACTTCCTGATTAACTGGTGCCAAATATCAACAGTAAAATTAAAAGCAAACAGTAAAAGCAAAAGCTGCATGAATCTTTACATTATTTAATAAATGACTTGCTCCTCACTAGACAATGCTGACATGCAATGAACATGTGGTATCATTTGAAGGTGTGAGATGTGGGGCACAGACGCTCTTGACAGTTCTGGAGGTCATTAATAATATAATCACACTAATACTGAATACTGATACAGTTACGGCATTTTAAAGTGACCAAAACAACATTTCAGATTTTTCAGTTTTACCGTGTACTTAGCTGCTGGTTTCTCCATTCACACATTTTATCATCATATAATCTCTTAGAACAAAATCACATAACTTTTTTTTTTTTTTTGCGTATACTGGAATTTGTTTAATTAATCCATCACAGTTTCCATCACAGTTTATGCACATTTCTTCTTATCGAACAAAACATTTATGCTAATTATCCAGTTATGTTCATACGTTTTTATGCGCATTTTTAAAATTGATACGCATCTTGGCATTCCCATCAACAATTTTTTATGCGCATATCCAAAATGCAGATAATAATAGGTGGATGGAAACATAGCTAGTGTCTCCGGTCTCAATATGACGATATAAACAGAAGAACTTCATCTCTATACAGTAGCTGCCCAGACTTATCTTCACAATTATGTGTGAAAAACTTTAATATCATCAACTCAAGCACTTTCATGACAACTCTTTAATTTAAGTTTAACCAAAAATAAAAACGGATAGAAATATATAATGTATTGTACACTACACTAATACTAATTATTGTTATTGCATAAATAATAATACAAAAAATTATATATATATATATATATATATATATATATATATATATATATATATATATATATATATATATAAAATAAAAATAAACGTTTATAGATTTTTCTTTTAAAGGAGTAATCATGGATCGGAAATAAAGGGAATGGTTACATTTAATTTTGACAAAGCGTTAAAACATTAAACATTTAGTTTTTTCATTTAATTTTAACATTTAATAAGTAATTACATTATTTTGACAACAAATTTATATTAAATCCTAAATCTAGAAAATGAAAAGCGAAAATGAAGAAATTAATAAAAAAAAAAAAAAAAAAAAAATATATATATATATATATATATATATATATATATATATATATATATATATATATATATATAGCTCTTATAGCCACAATATTGGAATAAAATACAAACATAAGTGCGTGCTTGTGTGTGTGCACGTGACATATGAGCAAAATATATTTTTTTCTTTTTTAAACATTTCCAAAATTATGTTGAACAGAGCAAAGAAATTTTCACAGTATGCCTGATAATATTTTTTCTTCAGGAGAAAGTCTTATTTGTTTTATTACGGCTAGAATAAAAGCAGTTTTTCATTTCTTAAACACCATTTTAAGGACAAAATTATTAGCCATTCTTTTTCGATAGTCTTCAGAACCATCGTTATACAATGAATTACCTAATTACCCTAACCTGCCTGGTTAACCTAATAAACTCATCTTTAAATGTCACTTTAAGCTGTATAGAAGTGTCTTGAAAAATATCTAGTCAACTATTATTTACTGTCATCATGGCAAAGATAAAATAAATCAGTTTATTTAGAAATTAGTTATTAAAACTATTATGTTTAGAAATGTGTTGAAGAAATCTTCACTCTCCGTTAAACAGAAATTGGGGAAAAAAATAAACAGCGAGGCTAATATTTTAGGGGTGGGGGGTGGCCTAATAATTCTGACTTCAACTGTGTATATATATACATATATATATTTCTAAGCAAAAACATATTTTCCATAAAAAATAAAACACCTTCGAATGTCATCCAAGTGTACACACAGTGAATGTTAGACAGGAAGCTTTTTGCCCAACTCCTCCTTTCTTTCCTCCTTGTTTATGGCAAACCCTCTCACTGATGGATCCCTAAAAGCTCATTGCATTCAGAACAGCGCGCGATCCATTTGTTTCTAAGTGCAGAGGATATGGCTGTTTAATTATGCCTCAATCACAGCACGCCCCTGATACTCCTCATGAATCACAGTTTCAGACCGTCTTTCTGAATCGAGAGCACAGGGGTCCCCGCGGTAGTTAAGCTGCGGACAGAAAGATCCATTACTCGGATCCATCTCAGAGTTAACACATTACAGCGACTCTGCGCCAAATCAAATATGCATAAACATGAAACAATCCCAACCCAGGCCGAGAGACGGATCAATCCGGTGGATGAGCAACAAGCTCTCCTTCTCCCTTCTCCCAGGTTCGCCTCTCTGCTTTTCAATATTCTCTCTATTGTTTGATTTATTGCATGCGTGTAAATATTTCATCAGAGAAGTATTACATTTTGACCTTTAAATAAATGCTGCCAGGGAGGGAGGAATGTGAGTGCCTATTTGTTAAGGGAAAACGCAAGGCACATATGACAGTGATTAAAGTCTCCAATGCTCTCATCTAACCAGCTTGTTTCTGCAGCTAATATGGTTGTGGCAACTAAGCTATCACAATTAACACCTTTATTTAATAAGTCTACATCAGGGGTTCCCAAACTTTTCAGCCTGTGACCCCTAAAATAACAATGCCAGTGACTCACGACCCCTTAATTCCTTTTAGGTGGTTATAAATATGCAAGCGTTGCTCATCCAACAATAGACCTATATAAACACAAACATATAAACAACACAATAAAGTGCAACAGTCTAAAACCCATATAATTGTTATAGTCATTTATATTAATGCATTTCATTTAAAATTAACTTCAGCAAAAGAGACTGGGTGAGACAATGTTTTCAGCAAAAGTCTATTTTTGGTTTAATTTTGGACACAGTCAGTCACAGAACATTCTCAATGTTCAGTTGTGGCCTGTATTTATTATTGTTGTACTTGATTGTCAAAAAGGTGTCAGAAAGTTTAACCTGGTACCATAAAATCAATCAGTGTTGTTAATCTAACATAAACATACCAATCCTATGAAAAAAAATGCTGATAGCTTTTCATTTGCATGTTGTTGTTTTTTACTCTCAAAAACAAACTTTTTTGTATCTTTTTATGGTAAAATAAGGTCATTTTAATAGTTAAAAAAATTATTTGACTTTTTAAAAGTCACCAAGCCCATAAACGACTTACATCAATCCTCCCCGCAAACCTGTTGCAAATTTTGAATGTTTAAAAGACAGTTAACCCTTGTGTGCTGTTGGCAATCTTTTCAACAAGTGGATTAATTTTTGGTGACATCTTATTTTAGGAAAAGGCTTTGAAAATCGTCAAAAATTCAACAATACACTGGGCAATTTTAAAATATGACTTTTTTTGATCATCAGTTGCAGTGCAAAAAAAAAAGCTTCGTTTCTGACTTCTATATGGACCTTTATATGGAGAGACATTTGCGTAATAGAACATTTTAACTTGATTACGATTACAATTTTTTTGTATTTTACAACAATTTATATTATTAAATATTCACATAAAAAAATAAATTAAGCTTCATCTATCCAATAATTCCAGTCAGCATTAGTGTACTCGCAATATTGTAAAAAAACACAGAATTTCTAGTTGTTATATGTAAAAAGGCCTAAATACATGCAAGACCTTGTGATATCTTTACTGCTCTATTCATTCACCTTCAGAAATGTAATGTTTAGACCAGGGGTTTTCAAACTTTTTCAGCTGAGGGCCCCTTTGTGTAGGGCGAATTCTTTCGGGGACCCCCAAAAAATAAAAATGACGCCACCCCCTCAAATGAACAACTGTACTTACTGTAATTTTTTTCAATTGTATTATTTAATACATTTATAGTATTATATATTATTCAATAAATTTATATTATTCAATATCTGGATTAATTTTTGTAAGATGTTAGTTGAGTTGACATGGTTTCAGTGCTTCAATCTATTGATCAAATCTTCATGCGCAGTGTTCATTGTGGTCTGCACTTACTGGACTCCATCAAGCCATATTTTGTTTTCGAGTCATCACGTTTACACAGTTGTTTAATGCCATTTTTATGCTTTTTTTCTGCCTATGCACAGCTAGACTCTTCTGTATTCACCCTTACAGCTGAGAGTCTAAATGTATCCAAAGATTTAAAGCTTTAAAGTTTTAAAGAGTTTTGTCATTCATCAGCCTGTTAACAGTTACCTGTACTGTTGTAACTAGCAATACTACAATAGAGGCTTTAGTGGTTCAGTGTGTTTTGTTTATTTATATTCCTTTTTTTTGTGCACATCATAATTTACTCAGGTCGACAATCCTGACTTACACTGATAAAAAATAATTTCCTAAATGCAATCTAGAATTGGGTATTCAAGTTTAAAGAGCCACATGTTTTACTTTGCATAATTTTAGACTTTAAAATGTTCATACCAGTTTGTTCTATTAATAATAAGACTGAACATTACATTTAAATTAGTTACACAAATAAATATGGGAAAAAGTGGAACATCTTGAAAAAAATGCATTTATATTCAGAGTATTAAAATTTGATCAGATATGTTGAGCTCCATTAAATACAGAGTACTAATACATTTTAATATTTAATAATTAATTAGCCCTATAACATAACACAAACAGATACATTATAATTTTTATAGGCTATAGTGGTTTTATTCAGGGTGTATACAATTTAGTTTTTTTAAATCATCCAGTTATGAACCAATGTGAGTAAGAGGTCCACTGCAGAGCTCATCCAGTTGTCATTAGTGTAACAGGAGTGAAACTGAGAACTCGCTGATGTGAAGACAGCTCCATTCATTGTTATTGCAGCACTTTTTGCTTTATAATTTTAATATGTTTGTTTGCCATGCTGCAAAGAGGACCGTCTGATATTTGTAC